AGGAAACAGACATCCTAATCCAGGAATCTCATAAAGTTCCAAATAACATGAACCCAAAAGAGACTCACAACAAGACACATTATAATCACACTGTCAGAAGTTAAAGACAAGGAAATAATATTAAAAGCAGCAAGAGAAAAACTACTTGTTATAAGGGAACCCCTATAAGACATCATCAGATTTTTCAGCAGAAACTTTGCAGGACAGAGGGAGTGAGACGATATATTCAAAGTGCTGAAAGAAAAGAAAAAAACACTGCCAACCAAGAATATTCTACCCAACAAAATTGTCCAGAATAAAGGAGAGTTTTCCAGACAAGCAAAAGCTGAAGGAATTGAGCACCACTAGACTGGCCTTATAAGAAATGTTAAAAGGGACTTCATTAAGTTGATAAAAGGGTACTAATGACTTACAGAAAAGCATATGAAAGTATAAATCTCACTAGTTAAGGTAAATATAGAGTTAAATTCAGAATAATCTAATGTAATGGTGATGGTTAATCATTTAAAAATCTAGTTATGAAGACCAAAAAAAAAAAAAAACACCCCAAAAGTACCAAAAACTATAACCATAATAATTTGTTAATGTATGCACAGATAAAAAGATACAAACTGTGACATCAAAAACATAAGATGTTTAGGGGGAGAGTGAAAATGTAGTTTTAGAATGCTTTTGAATTTACATTGTTAGCAACTTCAAAGAGTTTATTATATATATATAAGGTGTTTTATGTAAGCCTCATGTTAACCATAAAACAAAAACCTATAGTAGATACACAAAAGATAAAGGAATCTAAGCAAGCATACCACTACATAAAATCATCAAATCACAAAAAAAGAGATCAAAAGAATAAGAAAGGAACAAAGAAATTACAAAACAGTTAACAATGAACAAAATGTCAAAAAGTACATACCTATCAATAATCACTTTAAATGCAAATGAACTATGAACCAGGAGGTCACAGTTCAATTCTTGGTTGGGCATATGTCCCGGGGTTTCGGGCTTGATCCCCCAGTATGGGGCATGCAGGAGGCAGCCAATCAATGATTCCCTCTCATTATTGATGTTTCTATTTCTCCCTTTCCCATTCCTCTCTGAAATCAATAAAAAATATATTTTTTAATAAATCAATTACAAAAAGAAAACTAAAAATTCACAAATATATGGAGATTAAATAACATGCTACTGAACAGCCAATAGTCAACAAAGAAATCAAAAGAGAAATAAAAAATACCCTAAGACAAATGAAAATAAAGTATACCAAAACTTATGGAATGTAGCAAAAGCAGTTCTAAGAGAGAAGTCCATAGTGATTAATGCCAACATAAGAAAGATCTCAAGTAAACAACACACGGAATTAAAAACCCAAAGTTAGTAGAAGGACGAAAACAACAAAGATAAAAATGTAAATTAAAAAAATATATAGACTAAAAAGACAATAGAAAATAAGAGGTGTTTTTTTGAAAAGATAAACAAAATTGACAAACTTTTAGCTAGGACTTACCAAGAAAAGAGAGGACTTAAAATCAGACATGAGTCCTGGCCGGGTAGCTCAGTTGGTTAGAGCATCATCATGATATGCCAAGGTTGCAGGTTTGATCCCCAGTCAGGGCACATACAAGAAGCAACCAATAAATACATAAATAACTAAGTGGAAAACAAATCCAATGCTTAAAATCAGACATGAAAGAGGAGACATGGTTAACATGAGGCTTACATAAAACATCTTGATACTAGATAAATACAAAGAACCACAAGTGACTACTATGAACCTTACACACCAACAAAGTGGACAACCTAGAAGAAATTGGTAAATTCCTAGAAACATACAACCTACTAAGACTAAATCATGAAGAAACAGAAAATCTGATCAGACTGATTGAACCATTAATTTAAAAAACTCCAAAATATATAAAGAACTCATACAACTCAATAGCAAAAAAAAAAACACAACAATCTGATTTTAAAATGTGCAGAGAACCTGAATAAACATTTTTATAAAGAAGACATACAGGTGGCTAACAGATACATGAAAAAGTGCTAAACATCATTACTTCTCAGGGAAATGCAAATCGAAACCACAATAAGATATCACCTCACACCTGTTAGAATGGCTATTATCAAAAAGACAAAAAAAAAACAACAAAAAAAAACCACCAACAAATGTTGGCAAGGCTGTGGAGAAAAGGGAAACCCTTGTGCACTGTTGGTGGGAATGTAAACTGGTGCAGCCACTATGAAAAACAGTATGGAGGTTCCTCAAAAAATAAAAAATAGAACTACCATATTGTTGGGAGCACAGCTCCTCAGCCAGGGACTTGACCCTTCTGGGTGCAGGGAATTGGAAAGACCCTCAGGTAACAGGTAAGTGGGACATGCTTCATTACAAACAAAGCCGTGCACTGACTGGTCAGTGGCGACTTATATACACGCTCAAACAAAAGAGGCCTCATACCAATTAGTGATACACGCTCGTGCTACATTAACACAAACAGGTTACATAAGGGTGCGCTTGCGCGGTACGTATATTTCTACTACTGAGTCATTGCCCTCGCACCTGCATAGGGCAAAGGGGCCTTTCACCTGATCACACTGCTGCGTCCTCGCCTGCACGCATGCGAAAGGCAAATTGCCCTTGATCATCTGGCCTATTCTGATTAGGGTTCCCACACATGATCTAGCAATCCCACTTCTGGGTATTTATCTCAAGGAAACAAAATCACGATCCAGAAAAGACATCTGTATCCCCATGTTCTTTGCAGCATTATATATAATAGGGAATATATGGAAACAACCTCAATGTCAATCAACAGATGAATGGATAAAGAAGATGTGATATATATTCATAATGGAACATTATTCAGTCATAAAAGGGAAGTGATTTGCAACAAGGATGAAGCTTAAGGGCACTACTCTAGGTCAGTGGTTCTCAACCTTGGCTGCACATTAGAATCACCTGGGAATCTTTTTAAAATCCTGATTTCTGGGCCTCATCTCCGGAAATTCTGTTTCTTTGTTATGGGGTCAGGCCACAACATTAGTAACAAAGAAACAGAATTTCCGGAGGATGAGGCCCAGAAATCAGGATTTTAAAAAGATTCCCAGGTGATTCTAATGTGCAGCCAAGGTTGAGAACCACTGCTCTAGGTGAAATAAGTCAGACAGAGAAAGACAATACTGTATGATCTCATATCTGTCAATTTTTAAAAAACACACACACACACACCTCACAGATAGAACAGATTGGAGGTTGCCAGAGGTGCGGGTGGTTGGTAAGTGAAATGGATGACGGTGGTCAAAAGGTACAAACTTCCAGTTAATAAGTCAGTCCTGGGGATGGTGACTATAGCTAATACAACTGTATTGTACACTTGAAAATTGCTGAGAGTAGCTCTTAAAAACTCTCTTCACGGGAGAAAAACAAATTTGTAACTCCCTGTGGTGATGGATATTAACTATGAGGTAATCAGTTTGCAATAAATACATATATTGAATCATTATGTTTTACACCTAAAACTAATACATGTTATATGTCAATTACATCTCAATTTAGAAATCCATAAAATAAATAAAAATCATTAGAGGACACACCAATGATTCCATTAAAATAGAAGTTGTGATTGTCACCAATCTATGTTGCGCTCCTATTGCAAGTAAACCAACAGGCAAAGAAGGAGGCCATTTATAGGCTGGAGTGACTGAATTTGACTATTAAGGAGAAATTTGGTTCCCATGGCACAAAGAGGGTAAGGAGGAGAATGTCGGGAATGCACATGGTTTGGGGTGCTTCTTAGAACTCCTGTGTTCTGTGGTACATTTTATAATTGTTTCACTCTTTGCTCAATTGGAAAATTTACAGGATTCTGTTGCTCAGGAGAAACTCATTGAAAACACAGGGCCAGAGTCTGATAAGAAAAGAAGGCTATATATTTCTTAGGCTAGTGGTGTTTTTTTTTTGTCTCATATATTCTTTTGTGTGTATGGGTAAAAACAAGATGTGAATGCCATCAGCCACACTGGTGTTTTAAGTTGTGAAAATGCATGAATCAGTAAAAGAGTTAACTGAAATGTAAATCTCACAAGCAAAATATACAATTTCTGGCAGACTATACATAGTGTTAATTCTTTGAACAATATTGTTTTAGACCAAAATACTTTGCAAATTTATGCTACAAGGCAAGAAAGGGGGGTTACTAACTATGGAACTTTGGTAAATTACCGAACCTGTTTGGTAATCAGTAAAATGGGTACACGTGCTAGTTAGGTAAAACGCTTTGGAAATGGGAATTCACAGAAAGGCCTTCTCTTCTCCTAAGCCAGGGTTTCTCAATCTCAGCAGTACTGACCTTTCAGGCCAGGCAATCACTCGTCGTGGGGCGCTGTCCTGCACATCCTAGAACGCTCAGCAGCATGTCTGGTCTCTACCGCTATCCCTCCGTCATCTGGAGAGAGGCCAGCACCAGCTCTCCCAGACATGAGGTTGGCATTACCTCCCCAAAACTGCCAACTGTCTTCTGGGAGGCAAAATCGCTGCAGTTGGGAACTAGTGTCCTAACCCCATGTTCATACAAAACGAATTTGAGGGAGAAATAAAACAACAGCCTCCAAGGAGGAGTAACATGCAGCCTCGTGGAGGCTGGATTTGTGACTCAGAAAATGGGGTGAGGCGCTCCGGCGGCCAGCGAGCCGCCAAGTCCCGGTTCATGAACTATCCAGGGAAGGGGCAGCAGGGCGGAGGGAGGGGACGGAACCCGAGGCCCACACCGAGTGAACCAACGTACCGACGCCGGGGGAAAGGCCTTGGGGAGCAGGGTCAGAACCCGGGCTCCAGGCGCGGCGGGGCGGAGTCCCGGGATGTGTCCGCCCCCGCCGCGCGCGCGGACTTATAGCCGCAGGCCCCGCCCCGCCCCCGGGTGCGCCCCGCCCCCAGGCCCCGCGCCTCCGCCCCCTGCGCCAGGCCCTGCGTCAGCGGCGGGGGCGGGGAGGAGGCGTTGGCGCTGCCACGTCTTGGTGGGGGTGGCAGCAGTGACCGGCCACTGTGGCGGGAGGTGCCGGAGGTGGGGCTGGCGCCGAAGCAGGATCCGGATGGGTGAGAGCCCGTCGGTGCCGGAGGGGAGCGCGGAGTACGGAGCCTCCAGGGGTGAGGAGGGTTGGGGGCCCGGGAGCGAGAGCGGGGCGCGCCGGGGGTCCCGGGGGCCGTGGTGGGCCGGCCTGTGGATTCATCAGACAGGTGCGCCTGCCGCCGGGGGAGGCGAGGTTGGCCCTGGGGGTGGGGGGTGGAGGGGACGGAGCGGGCGGTTCGGTGCGGGAGCCGGGCCTTTACCCTGGCAGCTGGGTACGTGCACACGAGGTTGTGGAGCGCGGTTCGGGGCAAGTGGAGCAGAGGCGCCTGGAGCAGAGGTGAGGGGTGATGGCCAGTGGTCCTGCCTTGCAAGGGTGTCGCCGGCAGGGCCCGCGTTGGGGCCGGGGTCGAAACTAACTCTGCGCTCACCAGGCGTCGGCATGGGAATCGAGGCAGCTGCTCAGTCTCTGTCGCCATCGGCTTTGAATGGGCACGAAACCCGCAGCCCCTTCCTCACCACCCGCCCCGTTCCTTTCCGGGGTGCACCCCGCGGCGGTTGTGAGCCCTTGAGGACGTGCTCCTGCTTCTGAGATCACCTGCTGCACTGACTAAATCGGGCTTTCACTGCGGGAACGAGGGACATCCTTTGTCTTTTTTTCTCGGGGCCTTCTACCCCTAGAAACACGGAGTATTGTGATTTTTCTTGTGGGAGCTTATGTTTATGTATGTAAACCGAACTCCTTTTCACACTAAATTAAACAGGCGATTATGGGGGTAGTGTTGTTGAGCTATTCACTTATGTATGAATCAAGGAAGGGAGCTGAAGAATCCTTTAGATTAGCTCTTTTTAGGCAGGGTTCGCAGACATGTTTTAGCACAGGGGAGACAGAGCTACCTGCCAGCTGCGATGATGTTAAAGACGGGTGTTAATTTAATATGGTAATTCGAGCTCAGATGGGAAAACAAGATTCTAGTCCAGTTCACTCATTTGTGTGCTATGGTGGGGTCCGTTCCTTGAAGCTCCACGTGGTTCAATTTCCTGGTCCATAGACTGGGAATGATACCTAGATTACAAGGATATAATAAGCTACCAAGAAATACTTTTAAAAATGCTCAGGTGAAGTGTAATTGCACAGTTTAGTAATGTGGCCAGGCTTATTGAAGTCATCAGCAAATGGAATGTTCTTTAGATTAAAAATTCAAATTGTTGAAATTGTTATAAAGTGTATGTAGGTTAACCTAGTCCCAAATGGCACATGTCCTTCACCCAATAACAATGTAATGAAGTAGTATAGTGGTGCCCCAGGAGCTCTTGAAATGCGTAAGACAGTTTTAAAATCAACTTTAAAATCTTCCCTCCCAGTGCCTGTTACTTGTTCCTTTCAATTGCTAGCTTCTAGCAGCAGCTCCCCTCCACCCCCCATTTGTATCCCGGTCTGCTATAGAGGCTGGCGAACCCAATTGTTGGAATTGTGTCCAAAGAATAGTCAACAGAATGAAAACCTGAAGTGATCCTAGTAAAATTGAATTTGGTGTATGGTTTTTGTTATATCACTGTGGCAATTTGCAAACCTTTTTCCTTCTGGATTTTCTGAAATGTAACCTCCAGGTAAGTCTTAACGCCATCTGTTACTCATTCTCCAGGCATTTACTGGGCTAAGGTTAGGCATATGTGGGCCTTGTAAAGGCAAGAAAGTGGCAGCAGACAATCCAAGTGTGGGACCCTGTGCAACCATGATGCCGGCCCTGTTGCCTGTTTTTGAATCCTGAGTCTCTTCCTTATTGATTCTGCTATCTGGAGCAAGTTGCTATGCCTGCTTCCTGGTCTGCAAAACGAGAATAATGATACGTATGCATTGTATTTTTGAGTTAACAAATAGAAAGCACTCAATAAATGTTAGCCAGTATCATTGATTTTTAAATACTGATTTTAGAGAGGAAGGGAGAGAGAAAAAAACATCTATGATGAGAGAGAATCCTTGATAGGCTGCCTCCTGCATGTCCCACACTGCGGATGGAGCCCGCAACCCAGGCATGTGCCCTCCCTGGGAATGGAACAGTGGCCTCCTGGTTCATAGGTTGAAGTTCAACCACTGAGCCATGCTGGCCAGGTTGAAATTGTCTTTATGTTCATCTGAATTCCCCTCTGAACTTTCTTTAAACTTCATGGTTACAACTTTATGTTAAATAACATGAACATCAAAATGTTTAAGTAATGTGTTGCCTTGAGGAAGTTAAATTCTTAATACTTTCTGGCATCTGAATTTAATGTACCCATTTTACTTAATTGATATTTAGCCTGTTAATCTGCATACTTAAAATACAATATTGTTACCCATCATTCAGATAAAAATAGACATGTAAGCCTCAGGGGCCCATTTATCAGGCACAAACACTAACATGCTTGCACTAAAATTAACCTATAAAAAAGCTTCATAGGCTTGCCATATTAAATATGTCCCCAGCCCCACCTGAGACGTCTATATACTAAAAAAATTACTGTTTATCTGAAACAAAAAAGTTTCAAACGGACTGTAGGCTTAAATTGATAGGAATGATTGTTTTAATCATCAAAAGTTATTTCCTTCCCTTACTATTCTTAGAGCCAGGTATAGTGTTGTTTAGAATATAATATGATCTGAGTTTGTTTATTTTCTGGGTCCACTTACCTTTATATATTTTTTTAATTTTTTATGTATTTATTTCTTAATCTTTATTGTTGAAAGTATTACATATGTCTCCCTTCTCCCCACCATTAACTCCCTCAAGCCTTCCCCTGCCACCCCTCCTCCCCCAGGCTTTCACCTTCTAATTGTCCGTGTCCATGGGTTATGCATATATATATACAAGGTCTTTGGTTGATTATTTCCTACCCACCCACCCTCCCCTGCCTTCCCTTTGAGATTCTGCACTCTGTTCCATGCTTCCAGGTCTCTGGATCCTCTCTGTTCATCAGTTTATTTTGTTAATTAGCTTCCACAAATGAGTGAGATCATGTAATATTTGTCTTTCTCTGAGCTATTCCACTTAGCATGATACTCTCCAACTCGCTCCATGCTGTCTCAAAGGGTAGGAGAGTCTTCTTTTTTACTGCTGCATAGTATTCCATGGTATAAATGTACCACAACTTTTTTACCCACTCATCTACTGCTGGGCACTTGAGCTGTTTCCAGATCTTAGCTAGTGTAAATTGTGCTGCTACAAACATAAGGTGCATACATACTTGTTGATCGGTGTTTCGGGTTTCTTAGGCTCTATCCCTAGAAGTGGGATCACTGGGTCAACTGGCAGTTCCATCTTTAATTTTTTGAGGGAACTCCATACTGTTTTCTGTAATGGCTGTACCAGTCTGCATTCCCACAGCAATGTGCTAGGGTTTCCTTTTCTCCACATCCTTGCCTGTACTTGTCATTGTTAATTTGTTGATGGTAGCCATTCTGAGGGGGGTGAGGTGATACCCTCACTGTTGTTTTAATTTGCATCTCTCTGGTTATCAGTGACTTTGAGCATTTTTTCATATGCCTGTTGGCCGTAATCTGCATCATTTTTGAGGGGGGAAATGAAAGAAAAAACTGTGATTTTAAAAAAATTTCTTCTTTCCTATCCAAGAATGCTAATTATTAGTTTAACATAAATATAATAGATGATCTGTCATTCTTTTTGTAGCACCTGTACCCAGCACAGTGCCCAGCTCATTAATTTAAATGTGAAAAAAATTAAGAATTTATAAACATGAATTTCAAATTAATTGCTAGCTAAAGGGTATTTTATTGAACACTTGAAGTGTGGCAGGCCCTGTTGGGTGCTTATATACAGTAATTCATTTCATCCTGCCAGTAATTTCCTCCCATTTTGTAAGTGAGAAAACAGATTCTCAGAGTTTACCTACCGTAGCCATGGTCAGTGACATTAGAACCCCAGGTCTGATTCCAGAGCTCATGCTCTTTCCATACCTAGGTTTAAATCCTGGTGCCACTAATGTTGTGACCTTGGGTAAATTTGTGCACATGTCTGCCTGCCTTTCCTCCTCTGTTCAAGTGGTGAGAATAATTGTCCCTTCCCTGTAGGACTATCAAAATAATTGAATTAGTAGTGTATCAAGTTCTGTGAACAATGCCTGGCACATAAGTGCCGAACAATGTTAGTTTCTATTATTACAGTATCCCACCTTCCCAAAGCTTCTATTACTCTACAGCATTACCTTTATAGTCACATCAGGTTATACAGGCAGAAATTTAATCAACCTTTAAGGAAAAGTTAAGAGTTGCCCTTAAGCATATTGTGATTTATGAAATAGGGAACAGCTGGGAGCTGGGTTGTTGGGAAAATTGTTCTGTCATTAAATGGACTTTAATTTTTCCTGCATTGTTTTTTTTATGGCATTATCTATCTATCATCTATCTATCTATCATCTATCTATCTATCTATCTATCTATCTATCTATCTATCTATCTATCTATCTATCTATCTAAAAAGCCCAGCGACCGAATGGCAGAATGACCAGAACAACTGGTCAGCCACTCAGTAGGACATGCACTGACCACCAGGGGACAGACAATCAGTGCAGGAGCTGCCCACTGGTGGTCAGTGCGCTCCTACAGTGGGGTTACCGCTTGGCTGACCTGGATGAGCGGCGCTCCCACAGCGGGCCGATTCCCACAGGCCATGCCCCCACCAGTGCACGAATCCATGCACCGGTTCTCTAGTATTATTGATATACATCTTTAAAATCTATGTTTCAAAGAGCTAGAGGCAGGTGTCAAATAGAATATTTTCTCTAACTGGGTATAGCAATCATAGTAACTTTCCTTCTATTAAATAAAATGCTTTGCCCTAGTGGTTTTGCTCAGTGGATAGAGCATTGGCCTACAGACTGAAGGATCCCGGGTCGATTCCAGTCAAGGGCATATGCCACAGTTGCAGGCTCGATCTCCAGTGGGGGGCGTGCAGGAGGCAGCCGATCCATGATTCTTTGTCATCATCGATGTTTCCATCTCTCTCCCCCTCTCTCTTCTCTGAAATCAACCAAAGTTTATTTTTAAAAATTGCCTTAACATTTAAAATTTTATTTTAGATCTTACTGCAAAGATGGTACCTGATGAAACACCTATGTTTGACCCACGTCTACTCCAAGAAGTGGACTGGAGCCTGAATACAGCTACATTTTCTCCAGCCATTTCCCCAACAAATCCTGGAGAAGGTTTGGTTTTGAGGCCTCTTTGTACTGCTGATTTAAATAGAGGTATGGACTCAGTTAACAAACCCTGGTTAGAATTGTAGTTAGCATTCTGTTTTCTCCACAAACATTATGATGATGGTGATAATTTTTTAAAATGATACTTGACTTTAGATTATGTTTTGTATTTCATTTTTAAAGTGACTGAGCACCACAATTCCAATGTGTATGTGTCATGGCTAAGACCATATATTACTGTGAAATACTTCAAATGATTTAAGTACAACACTGCTCCTTCCTATAAGAGGCCAAAAGACTTCTTATAAAGGAAGAAGTTATCATGTGAAATGGTACATAAGGAAGAATCTTTAAGAAGCTAGATGGGGAATAAGGATAGAGATAATTTGCCTTGGATAAAATGCAAAAGATTTTGTCTACATGTTATTACATTTTTTAGCATCTGTATTTTCCAAAATGATTTCCTTAAATTTTCATAATCAAAAGTCAATTTTGTCCATTTTCCCTGTGGTAGGAAATACGAAGAAACCAATTTTGGTCAAATTGTCATTGACTGTATAGACATTAAAATTCTCAAAGTTTGCCCTAGCCAGTTTGGCTCAGTGGATAGAGCATAGGCCTGCGGACTGAAGGGTCCTGCGTTTGATTCTGGTCAAGGGCACATGTCCGGGTTGTAGACTCAATCCCCAGTTGGGGGTGTGCAAGAGGTAGCCAATCAATGATTCTCTCTCATCATTGATATTTCTACCTCTTTCTCCCTCTTCCTTCCTCTCTGAAATCAATAAAAAATATCTTAAAAAAAAAAAGATTCTCAAAGTTCTAAAATGTGCTGTGCCACATTAACATGAATGAAATTAATCAGGAATATTTAAAAATTGTAGTCTCAACAATTATTTACATTTCATATAGTATCATATTTGGTCATTGAGAATCTTGCACTTTTAAGTAAAACCAAAGCACATATTTGGAATATGAAGCATCCTTTGCATTGTATTTAATGCAAATAACATTGAGAAATGTACACGCTGGTTCTATAAATATTGAACATATTGAATATTAAGGTTAATATTCCAAAAATCTTAGGCAGGGAAAAACTTTGGTTAAACCTATTTTTCTTTGTTTTATGTAGTGATTGCAGAAAGAATAAAGGGTTTTAATTTAATCTTTTGAAATAATTTTAAAAAGATTCATTAAACTTAAAAAAAATAATTGCTCATGATCTCACCTGCTTATTTAATACATTGCCTCATTTGATATCTCTTTCATTTGCTCTTCTCATGACTGGAAATCTGTTTTTGCAAAACTAGGTTTTATTAAGGTACTAGGTCAGCTGACAGAGACTGGAGTTGTCAATCCTGAACAATTTATGAGTAAGTACTACCACCTTTTTTTTTCTGAATGAAAAAAAAATAAAAAACAAGATTTTATTTTTTTTAGAGATCTGTTCTGTCTATACTATATGTATTTTTGTTCAAATAGAAATTATTCAAATAGCTAATTAGCTATTTTGGGTCTCTTAAAAAAATTTTTTTTCCAATTACAGTTGATATTCAGTACTATTTTGTATTAGTTTTAAGTGCATAGTGGTTAGATAGTCTTATGCTTTAGAAAGTGTTCCCCCAATATTTCAAGTACCCACCTGGCACCATACATAGTTATCACAGTATTATTGACTATATTCCCTATGCTGTTCTTTACATCTCTGTGACTATTTTGTAACTGCATTTGTACTTCTCAATCCCTTCACTGTTTTTACCCAGCCCCCACCCCCTCCCATCTGGCAATCATCAATTTGTTCTCTGTATGTATGAGTTTGTCTCTGTTTTGTAGATGCCACACACTTTGGGGCAAAAGTAAGTTTACAGTTTTGAGTACACAAAAGTTTATTCTTGTATTATTATTTGTGTATTTTTCCATACGAACAACTATAAAAGTACTTTTGCTTCACCCTGTATATGTGAAATCATATGGTATTTGTCTTTCTCTGTCTAACCCAGTCGTGGGGATTCAGCCCATTTGAAATGAATAAAACTAAAAAAAAAAAAGACCGTACCCTTTTATGTAATGATGTTTACTTTGAATTTATATTAGTTCACACAAACACTCCATCCATGCTTTTGTTCTGGCCCTCCGGTCCAGTTTAAGAACCCATTGTGGCCCTCGAGTCAAAAAGTTTGCCCACCCCTGGTCTAACCTATTTCACTTAGCACAGTAATGTCTAGGTCCATCCATGTTGTCACAAATGATAAGATTGCATTCTTTTTTATGGCTGAGTAATATTCCATTGTATACATGTACCACTTCTTCCTTATCCATTCAACTTTAAATTTTTTTAAAAAATGTTTTTATTGAATTTAGAGAGAGAGGAAGGGAGAGGAAGAGAAAAAGAGAAGTCGATATAAGAGAGAAATGATCAGTTGCCTCCTGCACACATCCTGACCATGGATTGATTCTGAAACCTGGGTATGTGCCCTGACCAGGAATTGAACTGGGCGACCTTTATGTGCACAGGACAATGCTAAACTGAGCCATACCAGCCAGGGCCAATCAACTTTTGATGGAGCATTTAATTCATTTACATTTAAAGTTTTGTTTTTTTATCTTTATTGTTGAGAGTATTACAGATGTCTCTCCCTTTTCCCATTAACCCCCTCCACCCACTTTCCACCCTGCCCCAGCCTTCACCACCCTATTGTCTGTCCATTGGTAATGTATGTATGTATGTATGTATATATATATATAAAATCTTTGGTTAATCTCTCCCCACCCCCAACCACCTTACTCTTAAATTTGTCAGTTTGTCCCATGTTTCTAAGTTTTCTGGTTCTGTTTTATTCATCAGTTTATTTTGTTCATTAGATTCCTTGTTCATTTTCATTTTTATATTCAATTGTTGATATGCGTTTACCACCATGTTATTGTTCATATTTTTGAACTTTTATTTCTTTTTCTTAAAGAAGATGCTTTAACATTTCATGTAATACTGGTTTGGTGGTGATGAACTCCTTTAGTTTTTTCTTGTCTGGGAAGCTCTTTATCTGACCTTCAATTCTAAATGATAGCTTTTCTGGGTAGGGTAATCTTGGTTGTAGGTCCTTGCTTTTCATCACTTTGAATATTTCTTGCCACTTCCTTCTGACCTTCAAGTTCCCTGTTGGAAAATCAGCTGACAGTTGTCTGGATGCTCCCTTGAGGTAACTAACTGCTTTTCTCTTGCTGCTTTTAAGATTCTCTCTTTGTCTTTAACCTTTGTCACTTTAATTATGGTGTCTTTGAGTTCATCTTGTTTGGGACTCTCTGTGCTTTCTCGACTTGTATGTCTATTTCTTTCACCAGGTTAGGGAAGTTTCCCATCATTATTTTTTCAAATAGGTTTTTTATTTCTTGTTCCTTCTCTTTCTTTCCAGCATCCCCATGATGTGAATGTATGTGTGCTTGAAATTGTCCCAGAGGTTCCTTACACTATCTTCATATTTTTTATTCTTTTTGCTGTTCTGATGGGTGGTTTTTGCTTCCTTATATTCTAAATTCTTGATTTGATTCTCGGCATCTCTACTCTGCTGTTGATCTCCTGTAAATTATTCAGTTAGTGTATGCTTCACTTATGTCCTCTTTTTATGTTGCTGATGTTCACACTAATTTCCTTGAAATTCCAAGTTCCTGGAGGCTCTCATTAAGTTCCTTGAGCATCCTTATAACCATTACTTGTTGAGAGTATTACAGATGTCTCTCCCTTTTTCCCCCATTAACTCTCTCCACCCACTTCCCACCCTGCCCAGCCTTCACCACACTATTGTCTGTCCATTGGTAATGCATATAGACATATAAGATCTTTGATTAATCTCTCCCAGATCAGAACTCTATATCTGATAGTTTTCTTGCTTACATTCATTGAGGTTTTCTTCTGATTTCTCCTGTTCTTTCATTTGTAACATATTTGTCTCGGCATTTTGGCTACTTCCCTGTGTTTGTTTCTATGTATTAGGTAGAGCTGCTATGTCTCCTGGACTTCATAGAGTGGCCTTGTATAGTAGGTGTTCTGTAGGGCTCAGTAGGTCAGCTTTCCCAGTCACCAGAGCTGGGCATTCCAGGTGTGCCCTGTGTGAGCTGTGTACACTGTCCCATTCTAGTTGAGCCTTAATTACTGTTGGCATCACTGGGAAGGATTGACCCCCTGGCTGATCGGCTGTGAGAACCAATTTCAACTACAGCAGAGGAGCTGCTATGCAGGAGCCAATCCTATGGAGTAGGACTTGCTTCAGTGGGGCTTTCGTGTTCACTGAGTCCACCCCTTGAGTCATTTGTGGAGGTGGAAGGGTTGTAGTCTGGTGTGGTCGAAGTTGAACACCAGGTGCACTGGCTCTGGGCCCCCCCTCCCCCCCCCAGGAGGTGCAAAGTCAGCCTCTGCCTGTGTCCTGGCTGGGGCCACCCAGCATGAGCTACAAGCAATCTGCATATGGCTGCTACTTGTGTTGAGTCTGGAGGTGCCCAGAAGAGGCCAACCTGTGGACCAGGGTAGGCTGCCACTAATGCCGGGCCTGGGGCCACTGATGAGAGGTTTGGGGTATGCTGATGCCAGCTGCTGCATATTTGGAAGATTTCAGGAAAGTCCAAAGCATGAGGTGAGAGGGGCCAGTTGTATGGAAAGGCCACTGGAAATGACTTGGATGAGCCTGCAAGTAGGGAGAGGTGGGGTCTCAGGGAATCACCAGGCAGAGTGAAAAGTGAGCCAGGATGATGGAGATTCAGATATGGTGCAGCCTGTCCATTCTGTGGCAGGGAGTGCTCAGTAAAGAAACACTGGCCTCTAAAGCTGCCCCTCCAGCTCTTGCCCTGATTCCAGACAAGTTAATTCCTCCCTGAATGTCCCAGTTTCCTTTCAAGCTGCTTCCCGGTGCTGGAGCTCAGGGGGAGTCCAAGTCCGCAAGGACCCTTTAAGAGGAACTGTCTGGGACTCCCACAGCCTCCATGTCATTTAGCCACAATCCCCGCTGGTTTTTACAGTCAGAAGTTGTGGGGACTTCCCTTCCCAGCACTGGAACCCTGGGCTAGGGGCCTAGTGTGGGGCAGGGACCTTTCGCTCTTCAGAGAAACTGCCACACGTGGGTTCCACTATTCTACCCCTCATCTCCACCTCTCCTATCAGTCTGGATGTGCTGCTTCTTTAATTCCCTAGTTGTAGGACTACCGTTCAGCTAGATTTCAGGTGGTTCTGAATAATGGTTCCGTATTTTAGTCAAAAATTTTGATGTGATTGTGGGAGGATGTGAGTACCATGTTTACCTATGCCACCATCTTGACCAGACCTTCTAAAGTATTTATTGATGGGTATGTTATTGCCTTTTTTCCCCTGATTGTTTTTATAGGTCTTTTCCTTTCTTATTCTATCTTATTCAATTACTTAGAAATGGAGACATATTTTTCAGCTACTTTATGAGGTGCCTTCAAAGGGAACAAAGCAAAATGATTACTGTAATTTCTAAAAAGTCATGTAATCATGAAACACTTGAGATCACAAGGAGAAAACAGAACTACTTTCACCAAAATATTTGGAAACCAGACTAAAAATTACAGAGTGGAGCCATGTAAAACATTCTTTTGTTAAAAATTTGCAGTTTTGTTCTATTCAAATATCTGCCGAGTGTAAAAGTTCAAGAAAGCGATTTAAAGTGCGTAATGATTTATTAGTCACAGAGGTGGCACATATACAATTTATTTGTATAAGTGCTATTCACCTAAAAAGGCTGGATTAGTCTTTTACCTTGCTAGCATATTCTTTAAATGTATGGACTATATTCCAACTTATTAATCACTGATATTTCAACTACCTGGTCATTTAAAATATTTTCTTAAAAACAAAATACAAATTACTATGGTAAAATAGCTTTAAATGTTCAGTAATGAAGTCAGCTAGTCCTCATTTTTTGCCACCTAATACAGTGTAATGTCTGCTACATAACACTGTCTTCTAATTTCCACAGAATCTTTTGAGCACATGAAGAAATCTGGGGATTATTATGTTACAGTGGTGGAAGATGTGACTTTAGGACAGATTGTTGCTACAGCAACTCTGATAATAGAACATAAATTCACCCATTCCTGTGCTAAGGTATGTGTTCACATTAATGCTAATGAGCTAAAATGGGCAGATGTGGGTGTTTTTTTTTTAGCAAAACCTATGATGAGTTTCCATTAGACAAATCTGTTTTCTCACTACTTTTCATTGTAAAATGAGAGGCATATTGCCTTGAAAAAGTTCTGCTTCCTAGAAATCTCTTATTAAGAGGCAATTTCCCACTTTGTTTTGAGGAAGAAAATGTATTAACAATATGAATTGGGCCTGGCCATGGTGGCTCAGTGGTTGAGTGTTGACCTTTGAACCAGGATGTCATGGTTCGATTCCCGGTCAGGGCACATGCCCAGGTTGTGGGCTCGATCCCCATTGTGGGGCATGCAGGAGGCAGCCAATCAATGATTCTCTCTCATCATTGATGTGTTTCTCTCTCTCTCTCTCTCTCTCTCTCTCTCTCTCTCCCTCCCTCCCTCCCTCCCTCCCTATCCCTTCTTCTCTGAAATCAATAAAAATATATTTAAAAAGTTAAAAAACACACAATATGAATTGTTCGCTAGAAATTGTTCTGTAAGGTATTCAATTTGATATGGTCATAGAGAAAACAAGAAAGCTTTGTGAAACTTGGCAGTAATCTTTAGACTCCCCAATGTTGTTGTTTTTTAAAAAACAGTATTTTGAATATACTACACTAAGACAAATTCCCATCAGTTTCCAAATGATAAAAGGTTCAGAATACCACATTCTTTTCTAATTGTGACATTTCTAATGCCTATAGAGCCCCTTTATTCCTCATGACTCAACATGAAATAGTAAAGGTAGGAACATTTGGAATGTTTTCTGTAAGTTATGAAATTTGGGGCTTTTGTATTAGAAATGAATAAATTGTATTTGGATGTCTGAAATAAATTGCTGTTAAGCAAGAAGTAGGATGATGGATTAACAAAATTACCCTTCGGTGCTTCAGATTTTGAGAGCTGCTTTAAAACACTGGGGTGTGGAGGTTCAGGATATAGACAAAACAAGATTAGACCACAAGTTGATTCATTATATTATTTCTTCTATAAAATAATTTGCATTTTAGTTTATGTTAAGTTCAAGTTCACAAAACACTTATTTTTGTCTGAATTTTTACCATCCATCACTTGATTTATCTAAAAACAAAACTACATGTTTAGTCCTTTAAACACTGTAAATATTTTCAGAGAGGAAGAGTAGAAGATGTTGTCGTTAGTGATGAATGCAGAGGAAAGCAGCTTGGCAAATTGTAAGTAAGCAGAAACAAGGTAATCCTGGATAAATTACAATGCTTTTTGTGTTTCACTTTACAGTTCTTTGCCAAGATACTTGTTAAACATATTTTGCTGTTTGAAGTTCTTTCTGGCGTCATAAATTATGAATCCATTTTTACTCTATGACTGAATTTAATGAAAACAAAGTATTTTTACATTAGTTTTACCATAAACTTTGGAAATTGGAAGTGTACCATTTTGCAGACAGTAACATCTATAAATTAATTTTTAATAGTCAAATTCTCACATGAGTAGGAAACAGAAACTTTTGGCTGAGTCAGGTGATTTCCCCATTTCTCTGTCATATTTTAAAACAAAGTGTTCTCAGTCTCCTAAGGTGTAGAAACATATTGAAACAGCCTTTACTGTATAATCCTTTATACATTTACTTAAAACTTTTAAAAACAGACCAAATTCTAATATTCTAATCTTCACTTTGTGATATCCTTTATAATTTTATAACTTCAATCAAGATGTTCTGTATGCAAACATGAGAAAACACTTCAGGTAAATTTTTATAGATTTTTTTAAGTTTTTTAAAAACTGCCAAGGCAGTTAGAATCCCATTCATATACTGGAAAGAAGTATACTTTTTGCTTTCTTTCTACTTCATATTAGTTAAACCAAAACAGAGTTAATCTCATAGCTACTTTCACAAACATTAGAGTCACTTTAAAAATGATAAAGAACAAAGCTATTACTTACCCATTTTGTGTAGGAATGTTGACTGTTCCTAAGAAGTTTGAATAGATTTAGAGAAAAACACTTAAAAAAATAATATAGGCCATATTTTTTAAATGGTTGACAATCTTTAGTGTTCATCATCTTAAAACTTATTTTTAAAGAGGGTTAGGGTGAATTTAGTATATGTCCCATTCATTAACTGGCTGAAGATTATCAGATAATGTATATTTGAAACAAACTAAAATGCTCTCAGTGATTTAAATGCTTATCCATTTACAATATTTAAATAAATACATAGTGGGAATGGCCATGACCTAAACCTATTTCTAATATAAATTTGAAATTTAATGAAATATTCATATTGTTACTAAAATCTATTTCTATTAACAAATGCTCTATACCTTCTCCCTTTTTTTTTTTAAATTTCAGGTTATTATCAACCCTTACTTTGCTAAGCAAGAAACTGAACTGTTATAAGATTACCCTTGAATGTCTACCACAAAATTCTGGTTTCTATAAAAAGTTTGGATATACAGTATCTGAAGAAAACTACATGTGTCAAAGGTTTCTAAAGTAAAAATCTTTTAAGAAAGACATTTGTCAGGGGAGCTAATGCAACAAGGTTGTATATCCTTCCTAAAGTTAAAATAGTTTGCTACAACCCAGTGACCTCCACAAATAGTGGGTTGAAAAAATATTGTAGTACAACAAATATGACATTTAGAAGATTACTTTGGGCTGGTGGGACATGCTGTGAGTTTAGATTACAAATGAATATTATAGAGGATGATTTTTATTCAAAGGAATATATTTTTAACTTGAATCTTTTCTTGCATTGTATTTTTCTAAAATTTGGCTTTATTTCTTGGTAGACTATAGGAGTTATGTATTTGCTATCTGTGTACTGCTCATTTTAAGAAATGCATACAATGAATAAGGCTGTTTATCACATTCTTAAAATTAATATTTTTGGTTCAAAGAAACATTTAAATATGAATTAATGTATGCCATTTTCCATGTATTACTTGAAATTGGATTCATTAGACATAACTAAATGTGATACTGTACAACATGTGTTGATCCTAATGCTGTATTGACAAATAACCTGGCCAGTCTTTTAAAATAGAAATGAAAATTAACTTATGTGATAAGATTCAAAATAAAACAATGTAAATGTACATCTAAATGTTTATATAATTCTAATGTAGGCAAAGTGCCACCTGTGTTATGTGTAAAATATAATTTTTATTTAAAGTACCTAAAAGCAAATATAAGGTACTTTAAAACAAATTCTGGCATATAATAGAACTATTATTCTGGTCACTATCCTGTTTTGATTTTTTTTTTAAGTTGAAGTAGACATATTAGATATGTCATTAATGGTTCCAATCTTTTGCATTCCATGTTATATTAAACCTGTTCATATGATTAATAGTCTTTTGTTAGAATCCTAATGTCTGTGCTTTTCTTGAGTCTTCTTTTGAACTATTATGTCAAGTCATGGTTCATAACATTAGTTTTGTGTACTCTTTATAAAATGAATTTGGAAAGCAAAGATCACCTGTTTCTCATCCCTTTGACTCAGACCTACCTCAACTGGATTTTGGCTTTCTCTCCAGGCAGTAAGTTAAAGTTGGTTTCTAAAAAACCATAGAAATCCAGCCCTAGCTAGAGTGGCTCAATTGGTCGAGTGTCATCCTATGCACTGAAAGATCACTGGTTCCTTTCCCAGTCAGGGCACAAACCCAGATTTCGGGTTTGATCCCTGGTTGGGATGTGTATGGGAGGCAACCAATTGATGTTTCTCTGTAACATTGATCTTTCTCTTTCTCACCCTCTCTAAAATCAATAAAAACATATTTAATAAATAAATGAATAAATAAATGAAACCATAGAAGCCCTTCACCAATAGAGGGTGCACTACTAACTACTGATTACCTGTATGGATGAACTGAACTGTCTCTCATGAAAGCAACAAAGCTAGTTTTGCCTTTACTGGAGTTCCCACAACCTTGCCATGACAGTAGCTTTACCAAGTACATCCATGTTAGAAAATAAGCCTAATAAAAGGCAAAATTAAATTATTACATTTTTGAGCACTGAACAATTTGATGTAAAACTATCTACAAAGTTGGCATTTCAACAAATTCCTTTCAGTGGTTCTCAACCTTCCTAATGCCGCGACCCTTTAATACAGTTCCTCATGTTGTGGTGACCCCCAACCATAAAATTATTTTTGTTGCTACTTCATAACTGTAATTTTGCTACTGTTATGAATCGTAATGTAAATATCTGATATGCAGGATGTATTTTCATTGTTCACGACCCACAGGTTGAGAACTGCTGCTTAAAATGGTGTTCTTAAGGTCTTACTTTATATCCCCCCTAAAGGAAATAGTTACAAGCAAGGTATAGAATATAAAAATTGTGTCATGAGGCTAGAGAGCAGGCAGACAGCTCGGGGTGTGGGGGATTGGAGGGGTGGAGGGAGTGAGCAAAAAAGAAAGAACTCATGGACAACAGGGTGGTGATTACAGGGTGGTGGGGGATGGAAGGAGGTGGAAGAGGGCATAGGATAATGGTGACAGGAAAAAAAAAATTTTTTTAAATTATGTCATGAGGAAAATGATGTTCTATATTAGTTAGTTAACCAGAGAATGTTTATGATTTTCTAAGCCACATTTTAAGTAAATTTGAGTAAAAACATGTTATTTAACTATATTTACAAATTTGAGCATTGTTTGCTTTTGAAAAAGTATAATGAAGTGGAAGGTGCGATTTTTATTGTGCCCCATATATGTGTCTATTTGTATATCATTGATTCTACTGGTAAGATGCATTTTTTGGACATGGTAACATTTTGGAAATCTGGGTATATTTTATGATCAAGGGCTTGTCATAGTTTATTCAGTAATATTTTGCCTTTTAGTGGTATCTAAAATATTGGTGTAGTAATGGCATATTTGATGAAGAATAGTATGTAGGTGGACTAATGAGGGGAAGAGGTACAAAGCAAGAAGTATTTTTTTAATGGGCTGGAAACTGCATAGATCACCTACCATTTCTTTTAGAGATGAATTTCCTCACTCCCAACTTTAAACTTGATCAATTAAAAATATACTTGAGCTGAAATTTGCACCTTACATTGATTACTGACCATAGTTTGTGTGTGTGTGTGTGTGTCCACAATGTATTGGAAGATACTCTTAAGTGCTTATCAATTTCCAATGTTCATTTATCCTCCTTAATCTGTGGGAATAAAACTAAGTTACTTCTCCCTAGAAGCCAACAATCTAAACAAAGAAGTTCTGAGGCATAAGCAGTATAAATGAACTTTTCAATCGTTTTGAGGTATAACGGCACAATAGTTTTAATACAACCACCAATCTTCACAAAATAATTTTAATACTTTGTATCTGGGCTAGCAGCATTTCGCACTGTGACATTCCTATACATACATAAGCATTTTGTCTAAGTACAAATGTTAAAAGCAGAGTAACTTAAGCAATTGCCTATACAAAGGTAAGTAGACACTGTAGGTTATTTTTCTTGAATTTTTGCTGCATAGTAAATTGCAATTACATGTCAGTATAATGTACTGATCTATAGAATACACTTTGAATTGTGAGGTATGGCAACTCCCTATAAAGAGAGCTAACATGTAAACCTGAATATTTTGAGTGATTTTTTTTTTTTTTTAGCTGCCATGGATGGGTAAGACAAAGAAATCCAGCATTCAAAGACCTTAGAAACATTTTTCTGACCAAAACATAAAATAAAATCTTTTAATAATTCTCAGCTATTTCCTAACGTTTCCTTTTTGGAGCACTGTTCAATGAACAACAATAAAGTAAATACTGAAGTGAAGTGAAGCTAAGTTTGTTGTGGAAGTGTGGGTTAAGCCAGTTATTGGGGGGGGAGAATTCACCAGGTAACTGCTCATTTACTTTACATCAGTTGAGACTCTGATATATATGCATATATATGCATCCCAACTTTATAATTCAAGATTGCAGTTGAATACTTCTAATTCACTTGAATTACCAGGGTAATAAGACAATTAGAAACCTTATATTTTCTTAAAAAGGACATGCTTAACATTTTGACATTACTTCTAAATTCAGCTGAAACAAAATCCCCCTGAAATACATATTCTACTCTAAAAATTAAGTGGTTGAGAGTTTGTAGCAAAAGCTATCACGATTTAATATTTCCACCATAGAGTAGATACAAATAAAAGTAACTGCTGTTTAAAATATCTAATAGATGAAATAATATAAACCAATTAACTGATATTAGGTTAGAATACTGCCATTCCAGTTTGAATATTTTCAATATTTAAGTTTCTCACTTTCAAAATGGACAATAAAACAGCTGTCCTATGTTTTGAGGCAAATTCACTTTAAATTCTATGCCCAGATGACATATTTAATGTTTAAAATTGGGAACTATGCCACTTATACATTATTCAAATATTCTAGAAAATAAGTCATGATTGGTTAAATTTATCATAGTTAACTATCACAAAACATCAGTAGAAATAAAGCACAGAAATGGAACTAAATAGAAGAAAGACTGGAAGAGCTACCAGTTAAACATTAGGTGGAAGAACGGATCCCAGATAAAATGAACTTGCAATGTTCTTACATGAAGGAAAGAATAACATCATTTTGTCCACATTGATATTGTACTCATGACAGTCCCTTTTCCTAGTGTTGTGATAGAGAGTCTTTAATGTACAGTGCTGGGCAGGCACTTTAGTGAGAACATAAAAATTATAGTGGTTAGAAAAAATGGAAAATTATCAGCTATAAATAACTAAATCTGTATTTTTTTGGCCCAACTACTAGAGGATATGTATACCTAAGAAACTAATTTTAAAAATCTTTACCTCATTTTTAAAGCCTAAATGTACTACTATGAAGATCCTTTTGAGCAGACTTTCTGCTGAATGAAGCATCATATATTATTAGATTACAAGAGAGATCTTTGCTGACTTATCCAATAGTGATCTATTTACAGGGAAGCTGTGTTATCTGGCACTTTACCAACTGGAATTTCTGAACACTCAGTGCAAATTTTGACTCAACTAGCCAACCACACCAAATGACATAATCACACAACAAAATACAGACCACAATGGAATTAACATGTTGTTTTCAGGGTCATAAAATAGGGAAAGGGAAGGGAAATCAGAAGAGGAATACCACCTGGGTCAACAGGAATTGACTCTTATTAACAAAGCAATTTTAATTAATTTACTCTTGCTATGCTTGATAAAACACACTTTTACTGTATTATTACATTTTAGGGAAGAAAGCCTAGCAAGTAACTTGGTGTAATGTCACTTTGCATAGTACCTCTTGGTACCAAGGGAATGTATGGAAATCATTCCCATCAGTAAAGCACCTCAAGAGAGGACTGAGAAAAGGGAGAAAGGAGTTTTGTTTGTGCTAACCTAAATCATCAACTATAAAAAGTTAAAACACTCCTCCCTCACATTGTACTTAAAATAGCAAAAGTGTTTTTGTTAAAACAATTTATATATATATATATATAAATAAAAATAGAGAGAAATTGGATCCATAAAGTGACTTTGCTAATGCAAATTATAGGGCAAATTTGGATTAACTCAATGTAAAGAACTGATTCATACACGAATTTAAAATACACTAAATTCTCCCACAAATCATTTTCCTCAATAAATGCATCTTCAAGGAAAAGCTGTCTGAGCCAGAACAACCTCAAAGAATTCTTAGGATAATATAAAATAAAGGAGTAAATATTTCCCCAAATTATTTACTGAAGTTTCTTCAAGCCTCAGACTTTCAGTTTAAACTAATTTATGGGTTTAAAAAGTTAAAGAAAAATGTTGAAAATTTTTCAATGTTCTACATACTCATTTAGAGGTCATGAGGATTTATTTATTTTTTAATGATGCAAGGCACTTTTCTTTTTTGGGATTCATTTAGGAAAAAAATGGTGCTACATTGGTTTATTATAGTCTATTTAGAACCATTTTGGACAAAAAATTGGGCTAAGCAACTCTAAAAAGAACAAACACAACATTTGGCTTCTAAGAAATGTGAAAAGAAAATCACTTGAAAATCTAACACTCTCCTTGTTTTTGAGCATCTGGTATAAAGCAATGCATCTTTTGTTCATTAAATATATTTCTTCTATAGACTAAATAAATTAGAAAGGTAATAGGAAAGGAAGCAATACTTGGATCATCTTAAAGTAAGAATAGTTGGCTTATTGTCATGATTTCAAGATTAGTGATAAGGGATGGAGATGTTTTAAAAAATAAAAAGGTAATTAAGCTATTTAATTATAATAAAAAAGAAAGGTGACAGGTTCCTGCATTTGTTAATGTTTCTGTAAGAGGCTCCATCATAAAATTGAACTGTAAAATTATTTTTTTAAATGTAATATATAGAACACAAAATGAATTTTTAGCAAACTTTAGGAAATTCTTTTGTTATAAATTACCCAAATTTTATAAACAAATTCCCCTAACTTTGCATTTTGTTTAAAGTAGTAACTTTATATCATACAAATAAATTTCAAGTATGAAAAGTGCATTATTGCAATAATACCTCTTTGCAAGTCCAAAATTTTAGTTTATAATAAAACTGTAAAGTGTTAAGAAAAAGAAAAGGAGTAAAACCATCAGTGCCATCTATTGCAGAAATCTTACAATGTTGCTTAATAAGTTGTAGAGAAACACATCTGGAAGCAACATATAATTGAAAAGAAACTACTTGTGTTTTTACCACTTTACATTAGTATTGTCTCTAGTGTTTCCTCCTTCCCACATAGAAATTCACATCCTCTATGGTGCTCTTGAGTCAGCCATTCTGTGCAGTAGCCACTTGCATGCTTCCAAAATCATCATCTTCTTCATGTGTTCTCTTCAAACTGCCTAAATGTATTGCATGAACATAACATATAATGGGAACTTAAATTTATTAGAAATGTTATACCTAGTAAGTTTCATTTTTACTGAAGTGTTGCCATGTATATATGCACTAAGACAATTCCATGACTGAACTTTCAGCAAACTTTAGTAAATTCTCTTGTTATGAATTACACAAATAACTTTGTATCTTCATAACAGAATACATTTTCCCTCTTGAGAATTAAGTATGTCTTAGGTGTTGTAAATGATAAACATTAATTTTTAAAGTAGTTTGAAATAGAAATTTTAGAGATAATGGTACAGAACAATTGATTATCAAGTTTATTTTTTTTAGGCATCATAATCATGTGACTTAGGACATAAAATTTAAGAAATTAATTTTAAATTTGTACAATTTTATTTTGCAGATATAATTATCTTTGCTTTCATAGATGCTGCTGAAAATATTTTTCCACTGAAGCTGTGTTTTTTATTATCAACAAGTCTAGAGCTGGGAGAAAGGACAGCATGCAGCACATAAAGCAGAGATTTTCTTTTATCCACTCTTCACATCAGAGTCTGCTAGTACAGAAATTTTCCACATGGAATCAAAGCTGTCACTATAAGGCCAATAGGTATAATAAAAAAAATCTGAATCTCAATGGAGGAAAACTTTAGGGAACAATGACTAGTAAAGTGGTGCTTTATTATATGCCTAACAATGGGATGGCCTTAAATTTATGCTCTAACAGTTGTGCTAAATCACAGTAATAATGTTAATTCAGAGGGCAGATTCCAACATGAAATTAATCTGTCACTATAAGATTAATCAAATAAGGACAGAAATATAAACCAAGACAGTGGGATAAAGAAGAAAACATGCTAGACAAGGCTAAGTACTGCTGCTGCAACTGAGTGTCAGAGAAGGTGCTGCACCTTCTACTTTTGTACCTTCTACTAAGGGAGGTAAGGTACAAATAACCTTAATGCAAGGCAGAAAGTGAGGAGTATAGATAGAGCAGTTTCAATGATGGGATTAGAGGAAGAGTAAGTTAATCATCATGTTTTCTTGAGATGATGCATGAACTAAGTTTATAGGAACAGAGAGACTAAATGTGATTCTAGGTGGAAAAAAAGAGGTGAAGAAAACCATCATGGAGTGCATAATAATGAGAAACAGGCCTTGGCGGGGTAGCTCAGTTGGTTAGAGCATGTCCACATATACCAAGGGTGAGGTTCGATCCCTGGTCAGGGCACATACAAGAAACCACCAATGAATGCATAAATAGGTGGAACAACAAAGCAATGTCAGTCTGTCTCTCTCTTCCTCCCTCTCAAAAAAATAAAATCATCCTCAGTGAGGCTTAAAGAAAAAAGAGCAACAGTGAGGGGTGCAAAAAAAGATCAGAAGAGACTTTAATTACTACCTATGACACTACCTATTGTGTTTTCTTCTGTAGGACTTAATCCTATGAAGGCTTCTGTACAGGAAAAATATCACAATTAGAACTATCTTTAGTGAAAATGAGTCTGGTCACAATGTTCAAACAGACCAAACGAAAAGACTTTGGATAGGAGGCCAACATGGGCCTGAACTAGATGGAGACTAGGAATACTATAAAATAGGGAAGTAACTTTAAAGGTACTGAGGAAACAGACCCTAGCAGATTTGATAACAACTAGATGGAGGTAGCAAAAAAAACAAACAAAACAGTTAATGGCCCTGGCCGGGTGGCTCAGTGGGTTAGAGGGTTGTCCTGTTATGCCAAGGTTGCAGGTTCAATCCCTGGTCAAGGCACATATAAGAATCAACCAATAAATGCATAAACAATTGGAACAACAAACTGATGTCTCCCTCTCTCTCTCTAAAAATCATAAATTTTTTTAAAAAGGGTTAATGACAACTAGGAAGCTGAGCCTGAAGGATGAATATATAAAACTGTCACAACAGGCTGCGCAATACAGTGAAGAAAGTGCTGGACTGACTTGTGGTTCAGATCACAAGTGCTCAGTTTCCAGCCAAAAACACAGTAGGAATGTAACCTGTTCTTCCTATCATATAAGGCTGTTGATTCTAATGAAAATGAAATGAACTTTGGGAGAGAAACACCATAAATGAGCAAATTCTATGAGTGCTCCAGTAAAGTAAAAAGAACAGCAAACAAGTGTAACAAGATCTTGGGAAGGAAGGTGAAAGTTAAAAGATTGTGAGTGTGTGCTTGAGTCATTACCTTTGAAAATGGGCGAGGACTCTGAAATAGGGAAAGGAGAAGGGCTTGAACATCCATAGCAAAAGAAAAACTTGAGGTAGTTGACATTAATCACTCTAGCTTGAAACATACTTTCATTTATTAACTATCATTTATTCTTAATAAGATCACCCCTTCATCAAACTTCTCTTATTATTTTAATCTAAGTGGCAACACAGTTATACTACTTAGAGATTTAAAATGAAACCAAGTAGAAATTTGATCTTCTAATCAGCTTACACTGATTAACCAGTTAGTGGTGTGCACACAGCAGATAAGACATGTTTATTCATATAAAATTAAAATTTGAAATTCTTTTTTTTTATAAACAATTTAAATTATTAGTGTAACTTGTAACGAGCAAAATATGATTCTTTTCTACCTTTCATGTACTATCATCTTTCTCCCCACAACTTTCTCAAAAATGAAAAAACCCTTACCTGCGGTACCAGAATGAACAGATAATGACCTTTCTATCTGGAGTGGTGACATCATCTGTATTGTTAATTTTGCTAGGTAGATGGCTTCATATTCCTAAAATATAATTTTAATTAACTTCAATATACATTTAAAGTCTTGGATACCCAAAACAGTGGTTGATGTGTACATTATTAGTATTCTTAAGTTTATACCAAAAAATCTGGTACCATTTTATTGTAAGAGAAATGCAGGCTTAAAATTCTTACCTCATAATGTCACATTTACTGATGAGACTATAAATCAAGGCAGGCCAATAGCTTGCACTAGGACAGTGATGGCGAACCTATGACATTTTTTTGGTTGATTTTTCTTTGTTAAATGGCATTTAAATATATAAAATAAATATCAAAAATAGAAGTCTTTGTTTTACTATGGTTGCAAATATCAAAAAATTTCTATATGTGACACGGCACCAGAGTTAAGTTAGGCTTTTTCAAAATGCTGACACACCGAGCTCGAAAGGTTCACCATCACTGTGCTAGGGTATCACACACTGAACTACCAATTAATATGTATTGGGGCATTAGGATAACAAGTACAATACTTTCACCACTATTACTTATTGTTCTGATAGAATGAAAATTCAATGAGAAAGCAATATAAAATTAGCAAAGTGGCAAATTATAAATTGAAGATGAGATTAAAAGCTAAGTTAATCAACTAGAAAATTTCTTAGAATAAGAGTTTAATAAGGTTGCCAACTGAAAATGTAATAAAAACTAGTAGCTGTCCTATATACAAATAAGCAAATAGAAAATACACGGGGAGAAGAAACAATTTCACTTATAATGGGAACAAAAAAGTACCTAGGAATAAATTTCATAAGAAATGCATATATTCTGTACAGAGAAAACTTTAAAACACTAAAAGATATAAAAGCTGATTTGAATAACTGGAACATATTCTTAAAGTAGAAGACTAAAAATTTAATGGAGCCATTTCTTTCTGAACTGTGAATATATCATTAAAAACTATAAAACTTCTTCCAGTAAAGTTAACGAAGAATAATGAGGGGGTCTTGAGTCATACTATAAATTGTTTATATATTATAGTACTTAAAATTGTTTGATACAGGTAGAGCAATAAGCAGATCAATGGATCAGAATACTAAGTCCAGAAATACACCCAAGTACAGAACAGAATTCACTGTATAATAAAAATAGCTTTTCAAATCAATTAGCTAAAGACAGATTTCCTTAAAAGAGCTCTTAAAAAACCAATGAGAAAAAGACCTGCAACCTGTATGGAAAATGGGCAAACAATAAGGAATTGCACTTTACCACCAATATGACAATAACCAAAAAGTTTGTTAAAATACTTTTGATTACTGGTATTGTTTAGAGGATGGCGAAACAGGTCTCCTTGTTTTGGGGTGTGTTAAGTTTACATTACTTCAGTCTTTTTAGAGTTAATTTGATATCACCTTTCAAGTGCCCTCTAACCCAGCAATTCCACTCTGATCAGTTATCTTACAGCAGGGGTCCTCAAACTACGGCCCGCGGGCCGCATGCAAATACAAATATTGTATTTGTTCCCGTTTTGTTTTTATACTTCAAAATAAGATATGTGCAGTGTGCATAGGAATTTGTTCATAGTTTTTTTTTAAAACTATAGTCCGGCCCTCCAACGGTCTGAGGGACAGTGAACTGGCCCCCCTGTTTAAAAAGTTTGAGGACCCCTGTCTTACAGGTATATTCACAGAGAGATGCACCTATTCTTTCCAATACTGTTTATAATCATCAAAGGCTAGAAACAATCTAAAGGCCCATGTTAAAAGGAAGTGGTCATATAAAATTGTTATATATGTACATATACATATAAAATAATTTTTAGATAGAGCTATACATGCTGTTTCAGAATGATATACTAAGATATACTATTAGGGAGACTTATTTTTCATTGTACACTCCTTAGGCATTGTTGAATTTTAAATTTTTAAACCATGAGTGCATATTATTTTTTCAAATCAGTTTAAAAAGAGATGTTTTTACACAACTGTTAAAAGGCAAAGAAACTAATAAATTATAGTTAACTTTCTGTTCTATAATATAACTATAAGGAAGAAATAAAAAACATTTTACACAAACAAGGTGAGAAAAGAGATACCACTGTTTCTCTTTTAAATGAAGTAAAAGAGAAAAAAAAGACTCAGAGACAGACAACCATATGGTGACTACCAGGGGGAAAAGAAGAGTTGGGAGAGGTAGAAGATGGTAAAGAGGTAAATGGTGATGAAAGGAGACTTGATTTGGAGTGGTAAACATACAATACATATACAGATGACGTATTATAGCATTGTATTCCTGAAACATGTATAATTTTATTAACTAGAGGCCCGGTGCACAAAAATTTGTGCACTGGGGGGGGTGGTGTCCCTCAGCCTGGCCTGTGCCCTCTTGCAGTCTGGGACCCCTCAGGGGATGTCCACCTGCTGGCTTAGGCCCGCTCCCTGGGGGATCGGGCTTAGGCTGGCATTCAGACATCCCTCTGGCAGCCCGGAAGTCCTCAGGGGATGTTCACTTGCCAGCTGGGAGCAGGCCTAAGCTGCAGTTGGACATCCTTAGCACTTCTGAGGAGACGGGAGAGGCTCCCACACCCACCGCTGTGCTGGCAGCCGTCAGCCTGGCTAGTGACTGAGCAGAGCTCCCCCTGTGGGAGCACACTGACTACCAGGGGGCAGCTCCTGCATTGAGTGTCTGTCCCCTGGTGGTCAGTGTGTGTCATAGTGACCAGTCATTCCCAGTCGTTCTGCTGTTATGGTCAATGTGCACATTACCCTTTTATTAAATAGGATAGAGGCCTGGTGCATGGGTGGGGGCCGACTAGTTTGCCCTGAAGGGTGTCCCGGATCAGGGTGGGGGTCCCGCTGGGGTGCCTGGCCAGCCTGGGTGAGGGGCTGAGGGTCG